TCACCGCGCCTCCACCTCTCACTGTGTGGCCCTCTCGTGGGGCTTCTGAACTCTGCCTCCTGTGTCTCTCACAGGCTATCAGCATCAGCAAGGCCATCAACAGCCAGGAGGCCCCGGTGAAGGAGAAGCATGCCCGGCGTATCCTCCCTTGCCCCCGCCTGGGGGATGGTGGACGGGCACACCCTGGTGGTGGGAGTTGGGGCAGTTCAAGTCTGGACACACGTTCATGACCTTGCCCTCTGTCTTGTCCTCTGCTGAAAACCCTGGTCCTTGTGGCTCGGGGCAGGGGTGTGGGAGCAGGGTGGGGGCAGCTGCACTTACTGAGCGTGGTGCACCTCACTCAGCCTGCCTTGCCTTGCACTTGGCCTTGACCGCGCAGGCATCATTCTGGGCACTCACCATGAGAAAGGGGCCTTCACCTTCTGGTCCTACGCCATCGGTCTACCGCTCCCCAGTAGCTCCATCCTCAGCTGGAAGTTCTGCCATGTCCTCCACAAGGTCCTCCGAGACGGGCACCCCAATGTGAGTTGCGGCCCCCAGAGTCTGACCTCAGCTCCAGGCCCTCGGGCCCTGCCTGCGCCCTCCGCCTCGTCCCTCTGCCCTGGTGGGAGCGCGTCCTCAGGCCCCTAAGCCTCTGGGTCCTCCTTGCCCTTCCCACCGCAGGTGCTGCATGACTGCCAGAGGTACCGCAGCAACATCCGGGAGATCGGAGACCTGTGGGTAGGTGCTGCATCGCGGCCCGCACCTCCCCGGCATGAGTGCGCATAGGCAGAGCGGAGGCAGACACTGGGAGGCTTGGTGGGGCTGTAAGGATGGTCGGGGTGAGGTCGTGCTGTGCCTCTCCCAGCCCGAGACCAGTGGGCCTCCAGCCCTAGATCAGGGAGGCCCTTCTGCCCCTGCAAGTTGGAAAATGTGGCAGTTCCAGGCTGGCCTCCCAGGGGGCAGTTAGAGACCAGCTGCTGAAGAAGGGGTTGGAGATGCACCCCTCCCCACAGTTCCCCAAGACCTACAGACACAGGGCTCTGAGCATCCTGGGGAGCTGTGTCCACTCTCAGGTCCTCTGGAGTTAGGCTGCAGGGTGGGGGGGAGACCCTCTGGCCAGATTCTCTCTCAGAGCACTAGGGGTCCTCAGCTGGCCTGTGGCCCCTGGAGCAGACCCAGAGCAGGGCAAGGGTCCTGCTGGGGCAGCGCCCTGTCCAAGGCCTCTTGAAGTAAGGGGAAACACGTCCACGGTGCTCTGAGTGGACACAGGCTCTACTGGTGTCCCGGCCCTGGAGCCTGAGCAGGAGGGAGGGTGTGCAGACTCCTGTTGGCATGTGCCTCTCCATCTGCCACCAGCTCTTCAGTGAACTGTCCCCACTCAGAATTGGCCTGTGGCCCTGGACAAAGAGCTGTCTTCTCACAAGAGTTTTTCTGGCAAGAATGATGAGGAGTAAGATCAACAGGAACAGGGACGCTGGGGCAGAGGAGGCGGCAGGCAGTGTGCTGAGTGAACAAGTGGCCTGCCCTCGCTCTGGTTCCTCCCATCTGCATTCCTACCTGTCCCCACGCCTGCCCAGTCCCTGGGCTTTCTGGGCATGTTCTCAGGGCAGCGGGCCCTCACCCTGGGCTCTGTTCTCTACAGGGGCACTTGCACGACCGGTATGGGCAGCTGGTGAACGTGTATACCAAGCTGTTGCTGACCAAGATCTCCTTCCACCTCAAGGTAGCTTCCTCTGCTCTCTGGTGGCCTGGGTCAGAGAGGAGGCTGGGATCTGCCCGAGTGGGCTGTGCACTCACCAGGGAGGCCAGCACGAGCTCCCAGGACTGCTCTGGTGTTTCAGGACGGCCGGGTGATCCCAGCCCTTGCTCCACACCTGTGTGTCCTGCTCCCCCTGTGGGCTCCCTCCACCACCCCAAAACCCTCAGCTGTCCCTCTGCCTGCTGGGTCACAGCAGCATGGCCACCTGGGGCTGGGTGCCCTCCGGGGCTCTCCCCTCCTCCTGAGAGCTAGAGCATTCCTGGGACAGAGCTGGCTCTGTCCGGAGCAGGGAGGGGATGTGCGGTGGGCCACCCCACATGGCTACAGCGGGTGGGGTTTCTCTGCAGCACCCCCAGTTTCCTGCCAGCCTGGAGGTGACCGATGAGGTGCTGGAGAAGGCGGCTGGGACGGATGTGAACAACATGTGAGTCTGCGTGGCCGGGAGCCTGGCCTCCTTCTCCTTCCTGCCTCAGTGCCCTGGTGTCCCCAGGCGTTCCACCCCCAGTGCCCGCGGGGCCACATGTTCATGAGCCCATGGCCTTCTGAGGTTGAGGGCCATGCTCCCAGGAGAGCGGGCTCAGCTTACGTGGGCGGTTTGTCCAGTGTGCAGGCAGGTGTGGGGGGAGGTCTTGGGGACCCAGAGGCCTGCCCAGCCACCTCATTGCCCTTCTCTGCAGCTTCCAGCTGACCGTGGAGATGTTCGACTACATGGACTGCGAGCTGAGGCTCTCCGAGTCAGGTGAGCCTTCCCCGCAGGTCACGAGGGGGTCTGCAATACCGCCGAGGAGAGTGGGGAAGACCCCCACGACCAGACTGTACCGTGCTGTGTGCGCATGTGGTCCAGCCCTGAGTGCCACCTGCCAGGCAAGCACCCCCTCAGAGCCACACCCCGCCCCGACCCATTGTAAAACCCACCTGCCCCTCCAGGGGTCTGTGCCCCTCCCAGGAGCAGGCGATGCGGCCTCCTGGTGCCTCCAAAGCACAGTGAGAAGCCTCTACTGCCCCCAGAGCCCAGCCCCTCTTCGGTGTGTCCAGGTCACAGTCTCTGCTGTCCTTGTGCCCTGTGTGCCCATGGCATCACCACACGGGGCTTGGGCCATCGGGGAGCAGCCCTGTCCCCACCGCCACCCGAGAGAACTTAAGTTGTGTTGCCCATTTTCTGCCCTAAAGAGCCTCGACTCCCATCAGCCTCCTGGCCCAGGGGCCGGTGGCTGGTGGACAGGAAGTCTCAGGGGCTTGCCCTCCCGGCTGCGGGATTGTTCTGAGTGGCAGCTTCAGACAACTTGTGGTGACTCAGTGCTTTCCGTGGCGGGGCGAGAAGCGAATGCCTTTTAAGGGAAATCTGGAAGCTGGGAAGGAGCCAGGCGGCCTCCCGCACCCTCAGGTCTGGACTGAGGCTGGCGGAGCAGCGGGCAGTTAGTCCCCACGGGCCAGAGGCCAGCTTGGTGCAAGCGCTCCGTGCCTGGGGGAGGCTGCCCGGGACATTACCTGGGAGGCAGAGGGCAGGTGATGGGGTGTGGCCCAACCAAGCAGCTGGCCTAGGTCCCCAGGCTGTGTCCTGGCACACATGTGCTGAGTCCAGGCCTTAGCACGGAGGCCACCGGCGCCTACGTCTCCACCCAGGCTGCTCTCACACGGAAGGAAGCCCATGTGGGCAGCGGTAGCCCCCACAAGGGAAGTGGAGAGAACTGGTCTCCACCCTGGTACTTGGGGGCACAAAGGCAGGGCATCGGAGTGGTGCCAGGTGCCGGTGTCTGCTGGAGAGACTCCCGGAGCCGTGCAGATGGAGGGTCCCTACCGCACCCCGGTCGCAGTGGACACAGAACTGTCCAAAAGGTCCTCAGTGGATGGCTGGCTGAGGCACACTGAGCGCGTGGTGGGGAGACTCAGATGCAGCTGAATCTGTTGTGGTCAGGGAAACTTCAGAAACCAGTTTGTGTGACTGCAGATTGCAGGGCCGTGTTTGTCACACGGGGACAACCTGGAGCAGGGTGTGCTTTACACACCAAAACACGGGCAGTGTGGCCTGCAGCTGCAAGTTAAGGACTGCTGAGGGGTGGCCTTGCACCTCTCCCTTCTTGTCCCTCCCCTCCCGGGCTCTTTGCTGTCACTGCAGAGGTCCGCACCTGGCCCCACCCCAGTGGCCCAAGGGCTCCTCTGGACTCTGGCCGGCATGTGCCCAGTGTGGGGCCGCTTGGTTGCCCTCTTACTCTGCCTGCCGCCTGCTCTTCGTCCCTCCTCTGCCTCAGAAGATGCCAGCCACGACAGGCAGCCTCATGTTTGTGCTTGTCCCTCCTCAGTAGCTCTGATACAGGGCCTGATTGTCAAAGGGCCCTCAGGGAGGTCGGGTTTCAGGGTCACTTGGGGCTTGTAGAGCTGAGTGTTGAGCCTACAGCTGTAGGAAGGGATCTGAGGGACAGCCTTAAATGCCCTTCTCTAAAATTTAGAACAGGTTTGAGGCCCCAGGGCATGGGGCTCCTTGACCTTGACCTTGACCTTGGGCATGCTCTTGGCAGGTAGCCACTGGCACAGGGGCTCCCATCTGCGGTGAGGAGCACGTTGGTGCCTGAGATCTGGGTTAGAGTCCTGCTTGCTGACCAGATGGTCTGCAGCAGCTGCCCACTGCTGTGGCCACCTCATCACAGTGGCTGGGATGACATCATGAGGGCCCACCACGGCCTGGGCTGTCTCTGATGAATGTCCTGGGCCAGGTCTCATGCTCTCCCCTCTCACCTTTCTTCTGTGCAGTTTTCCGGCAGCTCAACACGGCCATTGCTGTGTCCCAGATGTCCTCAGGCCAGTGCCGTCTGGCCCCACTCATCCAGGTCATCCAGGACTGTAGCCACCTCTACCACTACACGGTCAAGCTCATGTTCAAACTGCACTCCTGTGAGTCACTGTGCACGACCCCTGGGGCAGCCGCAGCCTTGAGGGTAGCATTCTTAGGCCTCGTGTCCATCCACGGTTACTGAGTCAGGAAAGAGAGTGAGAAGTCAGTTTAGAAAGAGCAATAGTAACTCACTGCCCACCAACATAGGTGCAGTGAAGAAAAGAAATCACTGTTTTCCAAAGCAGAGAAAGACTCTGTAGGGTTTTGTTTTGGTTGGTACTGAGGAATTAAACCCAGGACACTTGACCGCTAACCATGTCCCCGGCCCTTTTTATTTTTTACTCATTGACTTGTATAGGGCCTCACTAAGTTGCTGGGACTGGCCTGGAATTCCTGATCCTCCTGCCTCAGCCTCCCAAGTCCCTGGGATTACAGGCTTGGGCTACTGTGACCTGCTTAGTTTTATGTTTTTACAACTGACTGCCTGGCGCAGAGGGTACGGGGTCCCCCGCCTTCTCCTGAGTTCATCTGCCACGTTCTCTGTGGGACCAGGAGCAGAAAGGCACCCATCGCTGTGCCGTTCAGAAGAGGGTTTTGACCTCCTCGAACCTCTGGAAAGGTCTTGTCCCTGGACCACACTGAGAACCTCCAGCTCAGGATGCATGTGTTGTTCTCTCCATAGTCCAGGGCCCTGCGGTGTGTCATCACGGGAATTTTGTGATCCCCCAAAGCTGGGCACAGCTCAATGCAGCCACACAATCCTTCCACCAGCTCGCTGCTGTCTAGCTCAGAAAGTCAGAGCCGGAGCCCCCCCAGGCTCCCGTCTTCCCAGTGCCTTCCCAGTGGGTGGGGCTGGCCCGGTCACGGGTGCTCTGTAGTCTCTGACAGTCTAAAATGTGGAGGAGCACAGGAGGGGAGAGAGCCACAAAGCAGTGTGCGGAGAGGAAACCTCCTAAATCTGTGCTGTCCCTAGGTCTCCCGGCAGACACCCTGCAGGGCCACAGGGACCGGTTCCATGAGCAGTTTCACAGGTACCAACCCGGGCCAGGCAAGACACGGTAGGGACGCAGCTCCCTGGCTCCTCTGTGACGCGTCCCTGTTCACCCTTCCCCCCTCAGCCTCAGGAACTTCTTCCGCAGAGCCTCGGACATGCTGTACTTCAAGCGCCTCATCCAGATCCCTCGGCTGCCCGAGGTGCCCACACCCTCCCAGACCCTGGCTGGAGCCCCTGGCCTCCAGTCCTCCCAGAACCCTGGGCAGTTGGCCAGCCCCACGGGGCTCTGGGGACAGTGGAGAATGGGCTTCCTTGGGGCTGGGTGAGCAGCTCTCATCTGCTGCCCCTGCAGGGACCCCCCAACTTCCTGCGGGCCTCAGCCCTGGCTGAGCACATCAAGCCGGTGGTGGTGATCCCTGAGGAGGCCCCCGAGGACGAGGAGCCTGAGAATCTCATCGAGATCAGCACTGGGCCCCCTGCTGGGGAGCCTGCGGTGAGCTCCCTGCTGCCCCCATGCCCCACCCCTGAGAAGGGGCTCTAGCTCCGCACACCCTCCTGGAGGCACTGGGGTGACTGCTGTGCCCTGCCAGGTGGTGGCTGACCTCTTCGATCAGACCTTTGGACCCCCCAATGGCTCCCTGAAGGACGACAGGTGAGGTCCAGGTAGCTGGCTGGGGTGGGGGGTTGGAAAGCGCCTCCCTGAGCTGCAGGATGCTTCTGCCTGCAGAGGCCTCGGGTGGGGAACAAAAGCTTGGGAGACGGGCCTGTGCCCATTGGCTAAACTGAGCCCAGGACCTCTGTCCCCAGGGACCTCCAGATCGAGAACCTGAAGAGAGAGGTGGAGCTGCTCCGCGCGGAGCTGGAGAAGATCAAGCTGGAGGTGAGGTGAGGGCCAGGGTGGGGCGCGCCCGCTGGGCCGGCAGGTTCCCACACTGTCCTTGTGTGCCCCAGGCCCAGCGGTACATCTCGCAGCTGAAGGGCCAGGTGAACTCCCTGGAGGCCGAGCTGGAGGAGCAGCGGAAGCAGAAGCAGAAGGCCCTAGTGGACAACGAGCAGCTCCGCCACGAGCTGGCCCAGCTGCGGGCATTGCAGCTGGAGAGCTCGCGGAACCAGGGCCTGCGTGAGGAGGCTGAGAGTGCGTGTGGCACTGCGGGGCCCTGGCCCACCCAATCTCACAGCCTCTTCTCCCTCACAGGGAAGGCCAGTGCCACGGAGGCGCGCTACAGCAAGCTGAAGGAGAAGCACAGCGAGCTCATCAACACGCACGCGGAACTGCTCAGGAAGGTGTGTGGCCACCGCCTCCCCCAGCCCATGGCAGGGCGGCCTGAGCCACGGCCACGAGCCAATCTGTCCCCTGCTCTTGCAGAATGCAGACACAGCTAAGCAGCTGACAGTGACACAGCAGAGCCAGGAGGAGGTGGCACGGGTGAAGGAGCAGCTGGCCTTCCAGATGGAGCAGGTGAAACGGGAGTCTGAGATGAAGGTACGTCACCCCATGCAAAGCCCCGCCTGCGTCCCCCGAGCCCTGCTGCCCCAGTGACACGCTGTCCTGTCCTAGTTGGAGGAGCAGAGTGACCAGCTGGAAAAGCTCAAGAGGGAGCTAGAGGCCAAGACCGGAGAGCTGGCACACGCGCAGGAGGCCCTGAGCCGCACAGAGCAGGTGCTGGGGGCGGGTGCTGGGTGGAAGCCACCTCTTTCCTGTGAACGGGGCCAGATGCTAGGTTCAGGGGGCCCTTAGTGGGTCCCCGGTGCTGCTGTGACCCAGATCCAGAGGGTGCGTGGCATTAGGACCAGTGCCTACCCTCTGGAGTCCCAGCGTACCAGGTGGCTTTGGAGACGGGGCTGCAGGGGTCGGCCATAAGCCTGGGTGGACCTGCTCATGGACACGTGCTCACAGAGCGGGTCAGAGCTGAGCTCCCGGCTGGACACACTGAGTGCAGAGAAGGACGCTCTGAGCGGGGCCATGCGGCAGCGGGAGGCCGACCTCTTAGCCGCCCAGAGCCTGGTGCGTGAGAAGGAGGCTGCGCTGAGCCAGGAGCAGCTGCGCGGTTCCCAGGAGCGGGGCGAGTTGCAGGGGCGCCTGGCGGAGAAGGTATGGCTGTCCTGCAGTGAGCACCACGGGGTCCTCCCCAGGTGGGGGTCCTGCTTGGTGTGCTCCGAGTCAGCTTTCCAGAACATTCTCTCCACGAAGCCCAGAGCTCTTCCCTAGCTTCCAGTCTTCCCACCCTGCCCATCACTTCCTGTCTGCCTGCTCTTCCTTAGCCACTTTCAGGGTGTCAGCATTTTGATTGGCCTTTCTCTAATGGTGGACAGTGCTGGGCATCTTGGCCTGTGTGTCTCTGAGAAACGCTTCTTCCAACCCTTTGCCTGCTTGGATGTTCTCCCGCTTGGGAAGGGAGGCCTCCCCCTGGCAATCTCCATCCCCCAGCAGAGGGCAGCGCTTCCACACTGCAGGCCCTGACTGGCAGCACACAGTGTGACCCTGAGGCTGGGCCATGTCCCTGGGCCTTGGGGCGGGGTCTTTATGCTGCTGTGCCCGCTGCCCACAGGAGTCTCAGGAGCAGGGGCTGCGGCAGAGGCTGCTGGACGAGCAGTTTGCCATGCTGCGAGGGGCTGCTGCCGAGGCCCAGGGCATCCTGCAGGACGCCGTGAGCAAGCTGGACGACCCCCTGCACCTGCGCTTCACCAGCTCCCCAGGTGCACACTCGGGCCCCCTCCCCACTGACCGTGCCTCATTCCTGTCCCCCACCCTGAGCCGTGGTTGGGAGGGCCTCACTTTCTCTTTGTGCTTCCAGACTACCTGGTGAGCAGGGCCCAGGCAGCCCTGGACACTGTGAGTGCCCTGGAGAAGGGCCACGCCCAGTACCTGACCTCGCTGGCAGGTGAGTGCCTCCAGCAGGTGGGCCAGGTGGGGCGGAGGCTGACAGGACTCTGGGTTTCTGCAGCCCCACTGCCTCCCGCCTGGAGGGGAGCTGTTCAGGACCACAGCCACCTCTTCAGGAAGCCAGGCAGATGGCCCTGCCCACCACCACCTGGGGACCTGGCCCTGCGGGCAGGCAGCCTTCACCAGTGGGGTGTGGCTACCAAGTGTCCTCGCCTGGTGGAGGAAGGGGCCTGGGATCCCTGACATGCTTGGTCCCTACCCTGCTGCCCCTAGCTGCCCGACCTTGAGCATGTTCTCAGCCCTCCTTTCCTCATCCATGAGCCGGGGACGCTGGGGCCACATTGTGAGCTTGCTGTAGGGTTCCCCAGTGTTTGTGTCTTGTTGCTTCCCATCTGTGACCTCAGCCCTGTCATCTACACAGATGCCTCCTCTCTGGTGGCAGCCCTGACCCGCTTCTCCCATCTGGCTGCGGACACCATCATCAACGGTGGTGCCACCTCCCACCTGGCCCCCACTGACCCTGCAGACCGTAAGTGGGCCCTGGCGGCAGGGTCTGGCTGCTTCACCAGCTTGTCTTCCACAGGGATTTCCACAGATGTTAGGGGAAGGTGGGCGTGCAGCCGGGTCCTGGCCAGGCTCCGGGCCAGGGTGTAGGGGCCTCATTGGGGTCCTCAGGTGAAGGCTGTACTCACAGCCCTCTCCTACCACAGGCCTTGTTGACGCGTGCAGGGAGTGTGGAGCCCGGGCTCTGGAGCTCCTGGGGCAGCTGCAGGATCGGCAGGCTCTGCCAAGGGCACAGCCTGGCCTGGTGCGGACCCCCCTGCAGGGCATCCTCCAGCTGGGAGAGGTGAGATGTACAACGGAGCCCTGGGCTGGGGGTGCCGGGGCCAAGCTGCTCTGTGTTCCCTCTGGATATGCTAAATGGGTGTCCCAGGCGGGACCGTGCCCCTTCACAGCCCAGGATCCCTGGACATTTTCCCCAGGCCCTGTGCTTGATGGAATTGAATCTGCCTGACTCTTGTCCTCCCAGGAGCTGAAGCCCAAGAGCCTGGATGTGCGGCAGGAGGAACTAGGGGCCATGGTTGACAAGGAGATGGCGGCCACGTCAGCAGCCATTGAAGATGCCGTGCGGAGGATCGAGGTGAGGATTGAGCTTGAGGGACTCCCCCGCTTCTTGCAGGAGCCTTTGTGGGCTGCAGACCTTGGTTGGGTGGGCGCTGGCTGCACGCAGTCTTGGATTCCGCCCCTGCTTTTCAGGGGTCCCTGAGGTCAGAGGGAAGAGGGTAGAGGTGGCCCCCGTGGTCTCTGGTGTCCCCTCCCTCCCATGCTGCTCTGCCCAGCCAGCTCACAGCTGTCGTTGGTGCAGGACATGATGAACCAGGCCCGCCACGAGAGCTCTGGGGTGAAGCTGGAGGTGAATGAGAGGTGAGCCCCCGGCCCAGCCCCAGCAGCGCCCTGCCCACCACTGGTTCCAGGAGGTTTTACCCTCCTGGCTCTGGAGAGGAATGCCTGGTTCCCAGCTTGCGTGGTGTCACGTGGGCCGGGCCACGGTGTAGAGCAACCAACCAGCCTCCCCTGTTTCTCCCACCCCACCCCCACTTCTCCCCAGGATCCTCAACTCCTGCACAGAACTGATGAAGGTGAGTGGGCGGCTGTGACCCCAGGAGGGCTCTGTGTCACCCTCCCTGAGAATCACAGGCAGCATTTTGATCTTGGCAGGCCATCCGTCTCCTAGTGATGACGTCCACTAGCCTACAGAAGGAAATCGTGGACAGCGGCAGGGTGAGCTGGGCAGGCCCCAGCTGACGTCCCCCTGGCCAGGCCCCACAGCTGCACCAGCAAGGGATAGGTCCCTGGAAGGGGAATGACCCCAGAGCCCTCGCCTTTTCATGCTTGAGACTCCTGAAGTGTGCAGACAATGAGACCATGTGCCCCCTTTGGGTCCCTGATGTCCCAGCTGAAACCTCCACCCCAGGGAGGTGTCAGAATGTGCCCTGTGGCTGTGCGGAGGGGAGGTGGGGCCCCTAGGGACCCATTCCCACCTATGATGTCCACCTTGACTGGCCCGGCCCATCCTGTCCTCTCATTGCCACTAGGGGGCAGCCACACAGCAGGAATTTTACGCCAAGAATTCTCGGTGGACTGAAGGTCTCATCTCAGCCTCGAAGGCCGTGGGCTGGGGAGCCACACAGCTGGTGTATGTCATCCCAGTGGGGTGGGCAGGGTCTGGTCCCTGCGATGGAGAGTGGCTTGGGGGGTCAGCAGGGCTCTGAGGGCCTTGGGTGGGAGTGTGGGGGTGAGGCCCACCCCCAGGCCCTGACCAGCCCTGCCCCTCAGGGAGTCTGCCGACAAGGTGGTGCTTCACAAGGGCAAGTACGAGGAGCTCATCGTATGCTCCCACGAGATCGCAGCCAGTACAGCCCAGCTGGTGGCCGCCTCCAAGGTGAGCAGCACCCATGTCCACAACCCTAGGCTCCATGCTGGGCCTGGCCTTGGGTCCTCAAGTACCCAGGGCTGAGAGCCCATGGCCTGCCTGGCCTTCCCCCCAGGTCAAGGCCAACAAGCATAGCCCCCACCTGAGCCGCCTGCAGGAGTGCTCCCGCACTGTCAACGAGAGGGCTGCCAACGTGGTGGCCTCCACCAAGTCAGGCCAGGAACAGATTGAGGACAGGGGTAAGCACCTGGGTGTCAAGTGGAGCTGCTGGCTTCCTAGAGCTGGCAGGAGTGGGCACCTGGACACTTTCTCTTGCCTCCTGGCCAGACACCATGGATTTCTCCGGCATGTCTCTCATCAAGCTGAAGAAGCAGGAGATGGAGATCCAGGTGGGCACCTGTGGCTGCCAAGCTCGTGCCTTCCGGGGCTGATCCTGGGGAGGGCTCCTGGGACTGGCTGGCAGCGCTGACGTGTGCTGTGGGGCACAGGTGCGAGTCTTGGAGCTGGAGAAGACGCTGGAGGTGGAGCGAATGCGACTTGGGGAGCTGCGGAAACAGCACTATGTGTTGGCTGGAGTGATGGGGACGCCCAGTGAGGAGGAGACCAACCAACCCAGCGCTGCCCCCAGAAGTGGGGCTTCCAAGAAGCCTCCCCTGGCCCAGAAGCCCACTGTAGCCCCCAGACAGGACCACCAGGTGCCTGGAGGAGGCCTGGAGTGGGTGGCTGTCCCAAGTTGGGCCTTGTGCTTCTGGCCTTGTCCACTGAGCCATTTACTCTCATCCCTGCAGCTGGACAGAAAGGATGGTGTCTACTCAGCTCAACTCATGAACTACTAGGCTCAGCTGAGGTCCAGCAGGGCAGCTGGAGGTCGGGCCTAGCCTCACATGGCTGTCCTGAAGGCATCCAGAGGCCTCAGAGAGGCCCCAAGGGGCCCAGCCCCTGCACCTGGTGCCCAGGCCTCCTGCCTCACCATGCAGATCAGTGTCCCCAAGGCCCTAGCCTTCACTGAGCCTGAAGGGGCGTGGGCCATGTGGGATGGTTCATCTGGATGAAAGTCTACTTATCTGCAATAGGAACTGCGGAGCAGCCAGGACCCAGCTGCAACTCTGCAGGAAATATATGGAGCGTTTTTAATATTCCAAGTTACACTTAAGTTCATAGTCAGCACACTGGGAACAGGGCCATGTGTGGGTCTCCCTGCCTTCTGGACTCAGTGTCAGAGGTTGTAAGTAACAGAAAGGTAGGGTCCCTGCTGGCTATCAGGGACAAGGATACAACACCCATGGCCTTCCTGGAGTCTCGAGGTACCCTTGGGCCATGTGGTCTGGGCAGGGCAGGAGGTCTTAAGGTAGCTGAGGGGGTGGAGGTTTCCTTTCTCCCTGGGCCTGGTGCTAGAGTATTGTGATGGGAGGCCCCAGGAGGAAGCCAGACTGTGGGAGTGGGCAGATGCTGCAGGCTGCGCCTGTAGGCACCCTGGCCCAGGTGCTGCCTTCCCTCCTGGGGTTTCCAGGTCAACTCTGCAGCTACCATCTCATTTTCTGTTTTCCGTTCTCCTGAAGATGGTGAACTCAACTCTGCCAGAAAAGTCCCAGAAATCAGGATCCATGGGCCCACTTTCTAGGGGATCAGGAAATCTTGTTGGAGCCTCAGGGAGGGGCAGCCTGAGACTGGGAGCCCCACCTCTCCTGCTCCTGTGGATTTGAATGAGCTTGTGTTCCTTGAGCCTGAGGGATTGGCTAGGGGGTGGGAACCAGGCTGTGGGGGTAGAGTCAGCAGTGGGACTAGATAAGTGCCTGGCCCACCCCAGCCCCTTGGCCATCTACCCTGTGCCCCAGCCACGCCGAACAGAGCCCAGGTCTGGGGAGCCAGGTCCTCCTCTGGTGTTGCTGCTCCCCCATGTTGACGTTCTGTTGCAATAAAACATGCTGACTGTTGTCCCAGTGCCCCAGTGAGGGGCTGCATCTGCCTCTTCATTGTTCCTGGGACATGCATTCCCTCTACAGGTCCTGGACAGTGAGACTGTGGGTGCACTTGGGACACAGGAACCTCACCAGAGCTGCTGCCAGGTCTACCAGAGCAGCTCCACTGTGATTTACGTGACTCACACCCTCCTCTAATGCAGAAGGCCAAGTCAGAGGCCATCACCATTCCCAGCCTGGAACCCCTGAT